CGTTCCCATTGTGATGGGTGAAGTGACAAACCAGTCCAGCCACTACACTTACCTTGTTAGATCATCACACCATATTATATTTATTCATATGGGGTTAAACCGGAGGTTTGAACGGTTAAACCGATTAAACCAGTCAAATTAAGAACCGAAGGTCAAAACGGTTTGACCTCCGGGTCGGTTTTCAAAACATTGGTTTGAAACCTATTAGGAATGATGATGACATCAAGGATGTTTTGGGGGTGTTGAAGGTGGAGAAAAATGTACATATTTATGTGTCTCATGTCCCAAATTTTACTGAAATTATACCTATCTTACCATTACCGGCCCCTAGTGATAAGGGTACAGTTGATGACAATCCTGCAGAGTAGAAAATGATCATGTTGATGTGGAAGGTAGGTTGAGGATGCTGATCATCCGATTGCAATTGAGGTTGAAGGCAAAGTTGAGGATGCTAGTAATGCTGGTAATGATGGTAATGAAGACAATGAACATTCCGAGGATGAAGATGATTTTCTTCCATATATATCATAATTGAGTGATAATGAAGATGAGGAAACTGTCAAGGCGAGAAAGAAAATGAAGTCTTTGCATGAGGTAACTTCTAGATCAAAAAATGCTAGGAAAGGTGTTAAGTATGGTCCTAGTTAACCATCAACAGGTATTTCATCAACCTTTATTTTATTTAGTTCATTAATGAGTTAATGAAATACATAGTAACATATATGCTTTACTTGTAGGAACCAGTCATGAAATTCCTTCATCTTCAACTGGTCACAATGATCTTGGTCCTAAGGATTCATTAAGCTCAGATGATGATATCAGCTACATTTCAACAAGTGAAGAGGATGGAAGTGAAGTTGAACACGCTAAGAGAAGGAAGGGTGTACACAAAGTTTTCAAAGGAACAGATGATGGCAATTGTACAAATTGAGTTAGGCACGGTTTTTCTAAACAAAGCTGAGTTTAAAAAAGCTATGGATAAATTGAGCATTATGCAAAAGAGGCCAAGTAAGTGGGTCAAGAATGATAAAAAGAGACACAAGGTTATTTGTAAGGAAAGGCACTATGACTGGAAGATTTTGTTGGCATGGGATAAGCCAACCGAGACATGGATGGTCAAGACATTTAATAGTGGACACACATGTGAATGGGGATCAACCAATCGGAGATGTAATTCAACATTTGCAATAAACCATTTATTGAAGACTAAGGGTTTTACTGCTGTTTATTTGAAAAGTGAAGATATTTTTACTGAAATAGGGGATGATTTGAACGTGGAGTTGACTTGTGTCCAGTGTAGGATTATTAAAAAGACGCTGAGAAAAACTTTTGAAGGAGATCATTCATTGGAATATAGCAAGCTTTTTGACTATGCTGCAAAACTGAGAACAAGAAATCCAAGAGCCACTATTTCGATTTATGCACTGAGGCCACTACCTGAACTCAACCCTATTTTCTTGAGGATGTATGTGTGTTTTAGTGCAATGAAAAAGGGATTTATTGCTCGATGTATGAGAGGCATTGGTTTAGATGGAGCTTTTCTCAAAGGACCACACAAAGGGGAATTACTTACTGCTATCGGTAGAGATGTGAATTACCAAATGTACCCAATTACATGGGGTATAGTGGAAGTTGAAAAGGAAGAAAGTTGGTCGTGGTTTTTGGAAGAACTTAAATATGATTTGCAAATAGGAGATGGTGATGGTTATGCTATAATATCTAATCAACAAAAGGTATAATATACTTTATTTTCATTTATATATATAATTTAGTGTACTATTTAGTGTACTTTTCAAGTTTTAGTTATATTGTCATATGTGCATGGTATGCAAGCTGTGTTGCAATAAGTTTAGATATGCACTTTTTTGGTTCCTCAATTATTTATTATTGCACTTATTGGTCCCCCAACTTTTTATTCTTGCACTTTTTGGGTCCCTAATCTGATATCTCTTGTATTTTTTTATTTTGGTTATTGTTGACACTATAATGTCTTGGTTAAATGTAAGGGCTGATAAATGTCCTTGCAGACCTCTTTCCAAATGCAGAACACAAACATTGTGTTAGGCATAGATATGCCAACTTCAAGAAGAAACACAAAGGGAAGGAATTGAAAGCCTTATTTTGGAGATGTGTGAAGGCACTGAATGAGGTAGAATTCAATGCAGCCTAATAGAGTTAGGCAAATTGAAGCCTGCAGTAAGGGATGACATAATGAATGTAGATCCTAAGCATTGGAGCAGAGCTTTTTTCAAAGTTGAAATTAAGTCATTTGTGGTCGACCATAACATGTGTGAGGTGTTTAATGCCTTACTTGTTGATGCAAGACACCAAGCAATAATTTCTATGAATCAAGAAATGAGAGCTATGTGTGCAGCAAGAATTGTTGTTAGGAGAGAGTTTGGATCTGCTAAGTTTGTGGGAGCTTTGGCCCTAAGATATGGACTAAGATTGTACGAAATAGGGAAAGTAGTAAGAAATGCAAAGTCTTATGGCCTGGTGGAGTTGGTTATGAAGTTGAGGATTACCTGAATAGTAAAAATAAAGTGGATTCAGGCAGAAACACTTATATTGTAAATTTGAAAGATAGAAAATGCACCTGTAGGTATTGGGATATATCTGGGATTTCTTGTAGAGATGCCATGACTGTATTGAGTTTAAAAAAACTGAGAGTTGAAGAATATGTTTCGGATTGGTACAAGTTGTCAAGATTTAGGGCCTCTTATGCATATGAGGTACCAGTTGTTGAAGGCATGAATCAATGGACACCAACAGGGATGCCAGTCATACAGCCACCTGCACCACGGAAGATACCTGGCAAGCCTAAGAAAAGAAATCTTGAAGAATGGGAAGGAAAGAAAAAATTGGGAAGACAAAGAAGACAAATGACCCGCCAGAAATGCTTCCAAAAATGTCACAAGTCTAGATCCTATAAAGGCTAACCACAAAATGTAAGTAACATGCAAGCTTTATTTTTGTCCCTATATTGGTGCACTAAGTTAATTATACTTTGGTTACCATTTTTAGGTGCCCCAAACGGAGAATGAACCATTTGTGGAGCAACCATCCACTGTTGAGAACAACCAGCAATGCCCTACTGAGGAGTAGCCACCCCATGGAGAAGACAACTAGCCACGAATTGTTGAGCAAGAACTAGTGAACATGACCCAAGAAGATCCTCCAATGAGTCAAGCAGTTAGCCCAACTCTACCAGTTCAACAGGCCACAACTCCCACTACAAGAGAGAGAGAGAGCTAGAAGCGCTCATCAGCTAGTAATGGGTTTAACAAAGTTTTTTTTTTTAATTTAATTTTTCACCCTAAAATATTGCTAACATCGTGGATCATGTTTGTAGAAGAAGGCAGAAAAGAGAGTAAGGAAAAATACCCCAACCCCAACTATGCAAGAGGTAAATAACAACTTAAGTATGTTTTTATTAATTGATAAAAATCTCACAATATTTCTATGCACATAGAGTGGTGCTGCATCTAATATTTCGGATTCGCCATCTATGCCTCCATCTAAAACCCATTCACAATCCACAAAAACACGAAAAGTGAAGCATGCATATTCAAAAGGGAAGGGGAAGCAGGAATTTGAAGGTTTTGGAACATATGTGAATCCCAACACATGTGAATCCGAACACATGTGAATCCAAATTAAATGTATGTTGATTAGTTTAGCTTTACGTTCTTCTTATTTTCATGCTAAATTAATTTAGTGTATTATGCTTGCTTAATGCAATTAATGTTTATTATAGCTTGGAGATAGAAGTGGATGAATATTGTCTTTCGTATATGCTCAAAAGAGGGCTACATGAGTTGGAGATAGAGGAATTCCCGCTGTAGCTTTAACGCCTGCACCAACAGCACCTGCACCAACAGCACCTGCACCAACAGCACCTGCACCAACAATACCTACACCAATGGCACCTTCATCTAGAATAGCAACAACTCCCTTAGGAAGCAGTAGCAATTTGTTATTGCCACTAACTTGCATGCACTATTATGGGAAAAAAGAAGGCAACAGGAAAAAGCACTTGGTCGTTGGGCGGAGTTATTGACTAAAATTTACACAGATAAATAGTCCAATATTTAGACTGTCAAGTTCTTTTATGTTGTTTGCATGGATGCTTCTTTTTTGGACAGTTTAGGGTGTGTATTGCCTTTAGTATTGCATGGATGCTTGTTTTTGGACAGCCACCCCTATTGAGTGTAAAGTTTTTTGTTGTGTGCTTAGGGTGTGCTTCTGTTTTCGACAGATTAGTCTGCAGTACATAGAGTGGTATTGCATGGTATTGCATTTGGTATTGCATGGACACTTGTTTTGTACAAATATGGGAGTTTAGGTTGTTTGTTGTATTTGGCAAGGAATTTGGTATAATGTGCTTTTATTTTGGACTTGGACAACATATATTTTGTAATTTACTATTTATGCATTGTAATTTTTGTATTGGGATTAATGAAATGCATATATTGACTTTTGTGAATTACTTTAGGTAAATGACCAACTGCCAAATTTGCCTATCTTTGGCTACAAGGAATGCTTCTGTTTAGAAATTGGTATAAAAATGCAATTGAAACAACTCAAAAATTGCATTCATCTTGCTCTATGACAACAAGGAAGACTCTGTTACCTAGAAATGGAATGCATTGCATTTCAACAGTTGGGAATTGACAAAAACATAATAAAAACATTATATATATATATAGATATAACACCTATATATGTCAATTACATCAACCTAAACACACCAACTAATATGACAAGTATAGCCACGAACACAACAAAAACCACACACATTAGGTGGTTGACTTTATTTGATGTCCAGTAATCCTTATCCAACTTTTTCAATTTCTTCTTAGCTGTCTTCATCTTCTTCATCCATACTTCACACTAATTTGCTAAATACCCATTATCATTCTTTAAAATCTCATTTTCGTTCTTCAAAATATCATTCTCATTCTTCAAATTCTCATTTTCTAGCACCAAATCAGTATTTTGCTTGCTCAATTTCTCATTCTCTCTCTTTAGCTTCTGTTCCCTGTCTTTTAATATTAAAAGCAACTCCCTTGGTCTGCCCTCGATTGTCTCTTCACCAGGAAGAAAATGGAAGTAGTTGTAAGGTTTCTAACAAGGTTAAATCATTAAATCAAAAAAGAGAATTCAATGCAGATGAAATTAAGCTTTAGGGTAGAACATACCACCAACTTAAGGCACCCACGAAACCCTTTTCCCATGTTTTGGTAAGTGAACGACATTTGCACCACCACATTCAAACCACAATCACAGACATATTGTCAGGGTTCACCCCCACTAGCAGTAGAGGCAACCCAACTCGAGCAACTCTCATCACAAATTCCCTGCATGTGGTCAATTCCTCAAATTCCCTCGAGAAAAGAGAAGAAGAAGAAATGGGTTAAGATCGATTTGCAGAAGGAGTAGAGATGAAAGAGCAATTTAGGGTTCACAGGCATTTTACCCCTTTATTGGTGCTTTGGTAGGCAATATATGGGGTCCATTTGAGTGGATTTGACGCCTTTGAGTTGCAGGAACATGACATGGCAAAACGTTTTGTCCATATTAGCATTTTTTTAGATTTTACTCTCCACGTCATAAAAAAAATATAAAAAATGCCACATGGGCGAAATTAACGACCTAAATTAACGAAAGGATTAACGCCATGCATTCCTTAAAGTCGAACAATCAAAAAAGTGCAAAAAATTGTTAAAAAACCAAAAAATGCAACTCTATAATATTGAGGAACCAAATTTAACATTTAACCTCCTTATAACAAAGATCTTCACGGAGCTTCGCAAGTCTAAAAGGAAATTGCCATCGTAATTGAAAAGAACTGCATTCTCAATACAATATGCATGCTTTCTTTTTGAGGTAGACGGACCAACCGCGGACCACTGTTTGTGCTATTGAAGAAAAAAAAAAATTCCGGAATCTGGATGTGCGTTGACGTCGAAGTCAATATAAATAAGAATAGTGAGAAAACACCCAATGATATTTGTGGCGTTGATGGTTCTTAATTTTTTAATCAGATTTTAAACCGTAGCTTTGTGGCGGAATACTTAGCTACTATAACACTTTTTGGTATTTATTATCTTAGTATTTTTTAGTCAAATTTTATATATCTTAAAATTTAATAATTTTTTGGATGATTTTAAGAGTATATCCTATGCACATTAATATGTTATATTTAAAGAAATTAATTTTTTTATCTATTAACTCAAGATTTAATCTATAAAAAAAATACTAACCAATAAATCCAACACTTTAACATGGTGAAATTATTTAGATGATTGAGCTAAGGGTTAAAGTATATACACGTTTAGCTTTTTCTTATTAAATTTGAAAATTTTAATTTCTTATTTTGTACTATAAAATTTCCAACCCTTAAATTTAAAAATTCGAAGATTTTAATTCCTAAACTAACGGAATTCGTTAATTCTTCATTAAAAGGAGAATATAATATTTATAGGATCAGTTCTCAAAAATTAAAAATATAATAATTTTCTTTTAAAAGTTTAAAAATTAAAAAAATTAGTAAACTAAAAAAAATTAATAGATGATTTCCTTATATACACTAAATTCGAATATTAAATATCTATAATCAAATTGAGCAATTAGTTCAATTTGAAGAAAAAATTTTAATTGAAATTAAAGAAAATTTCTTAATTAAGTTAAGAGAGAAGTTCAAAAAATTAAAAGAATATAACAAATAAAAAATTTTTTAATCTCAGTCAAATTTTTCTTTTAAATTTAACTAATCACTCAATTTGATTGTAAACATCTAGTACAATTTTTGTATAAATGATAAAGTTATCTATTAATTATTTTTAATTTTGTAATTTTTTTTTAATTTTTAAAATTTTAAAACTAAATTATTATATTTTTAATTTGTGAGAACTGATATTATAAATATTTTACTCTCAATTTAATAAAGAGTTAACAGATTTTATAGATTAAGAATTAAAATTTTCAAAATTTTAAATTTAGAGATTAAAAATTCATAATATAAGATAAAAAATTTTAAATTTTAAATTTATTAAAGTAAGGGTCTAAATATATATTTTAACGTGAGCGAAGAGACAACATGGATAGGCAGGGAAGGCGTAGAAGCTTCAATAACCACAAACTTGTCAATGGTTCAAATATTTTTCTCTGTTCCGAATGTGAACCCTTCAAAAATTATTTAAACCCCTTTTTGGATGGCAATAAAACCCAAACCCTATTCAATCCAATTCAGCTTTCATTACATAAGCACAATTTTTTTTATTCTTTTCAACTTTTCTCTCTCTCTCTCTCTCTCTTTCTATTATTTTTTTTACCAACATCACATTCAATTAACTAGTTCATGGTAGTTATTATTTCATTTTTTACTAAATCGAAGGATGAATGAAAAATATTTATTCTTTCCATTTTTAAGGAATAACTATCACTTAGGTAAAATCTATTTCTATCTTCCTATGAAAATTTCTCAATTTTAATTTTTATAATTTAATTAAGAGATAAGCACTTCCGCCATCTAAACAAACCCTATATATATATCTTAGAGAACTAGGTTCAATCCCTAACTACGGCAGCATAAGTCAGACAAAATGGGGGAAAAACAAAGAATATGTTGAAACAAATGCTAGTTGAATTCTAAAACAACCAGAGACATTTCAAACTCTTGGCACAAGTTCAAGAGTTGTTACACTCCCGTCTGCTCTACCTTGCCACGGACGAAATTACAAGCAAAACTGAAATTTATTTTGTTCCTTATTAGAACAAGAGAGATTGTGTCACGAAGCAAATCTCTTGAGAATGGCCTCTTCACTCTAATCTCCTCCCACCCAAAATCCCAAGTTCTCATAGGCACACTTTTAACCATTACTGAGCCTAGCTAACTTCTTTCGCTGCTGCAATGACAGCTTCTACAGTGATACCGAACTCCTTGTATATTCTGCCTGCTGGTGCACTTGCACCAAAACGGTCAATACCAATTGCCTTTCCTTTAGGTCCAACAATCTTTTCCCAACCAAATGTGGATCCAGCCTCAATGCTTACCCTAGCTGATACAGCAGCGGGGAAGACACTTTCTTTGTAGGCATCTGACTGCTCATCAAAAAGCTCCCAGGAAACAAGTGACACAACCCTAACACCCTTGCCTCCCTTTCTGAGCTCCTCAGCTGCTTTAGCAGCAATTTCCAACTCAGAACCAGTTCCAATAAGAATGACATCAGGTTTGTTGCCTGATGAGTTATCTGAAATAATGTAGCCACCCTTTTCAACTCCCTCAATGCAAGATCCAGGAAGATGGGGCAGCTTCTGCCGAGAGAGGGCAAGGATTGAAGGTCTCTTCCGGTTAAGGATAGCGACTTTATATGCACCAGCAGTTTCATTTCCATCAGCTGGACGGAGCATCAAAATGTTGGGCATTGCACGGAAGCTCGCCAAGTGTTCAATTGGCTGGTGAGTTGGCCCATCTTCTCCAAGACCAATGGAATCATGGGTCATAACATAAATAACTCCAGCTTCAGACAAAGCAGAAATTCTAATGGCAGCCCTCATGTAGTCAGTGAAGACAAAGAAAGTAGCACAGTATGGAATCATTCCAGGGCTGTGAAGGGCAATGCCATTGCTTATGGCTCCCATCCCATGTTCCCTAACACCAAACCTAAGATTGCGCTCTTCTGGAGTGTCCTTCTGGAAATCCCCGAACATTTTCATAATTGTCATGTTGGAAGAAGCGAGGTCCGCACTTCCACCGAGAAAACCAGGGAGTACTTTTGCAAGGGCATTAAGGCATGTCTGCGACAGATTTCTGGTCGCCTCAGCTGGGCTTTCTGGAGTGTATGTCTGGAAATTGCACAACGTAAGAGCTTCAATTAAGGATCAACCTTAAAAAAGGTTTAATTATATATATAAGGGCTTTGTCTAAGAAATTGAAAGTATTGAGATTAGACTTTTATTTTTGTTAAAAATACTTTCAGGAAAAAAAAAAAAAAAAGGAGGAAAGATGAAGAAGAAGAAGATATCGGGGATTTGCAAAGGAAAGAACAAGGGCAGCCAAGATAACCAAAGCTCCACTTACCGGTAGTGCCTTATCCCACCCAGCAGGTAGTTCACCTGTGATGATTGATGTTAACTCTGCAGCTTCCTCCTTGTACTTCTTCTTGTATTCAGCAAACTTGGCATTCCATTCAGCTTCAAGAGCAGCACCATCAGGGATATGGCGACTCCAGTGCCTGCAAAATGCATTATGATGACAAAAGCCCACATGGATAAGCAGACATTTAGAAGAAATCCTATCCTATCCCATCTACTTACTTTTTGACATCCTCAGGCACGTGTAGAGGTTCATATGGCCATCCAAGGTTCTTCCTAGTAGCATCCACTTCCTTGGCACCCAATGCACTACCATGTACACTGTATGAGTTTGCCTTGTTTGGAGACCCAAAACCAATGGTTGTTGTCACCTGTAGAGATGTGGGCCCAAAGAAAAAATTGTAAGCTAACCCAATCAAAAGACAACATTGCAATTTTCCCCACACCACACAAAATAAATAAAAGGGGGAATCTTAAGTCAATTCACTATTCATAACATCACCTACAAACTCTTTTTTTCTTTTCTCTCCACTTTTCAGTATTGCATAATGCATTTTATTTTGCCAAAAACCATAGAAGAGAAGTTGATTTAAACACGACAAGAAAATCTGAATCCTTGGACTCAACTGTAAGATTCACAAAATTCCAACTCCATGCTAATTCAAAGCACATCATGAGAATCTAAACATCCACAAAATCTCCAACCTTGATCAAAGTGGGTTTGTCTTTGACGGCTTTTGCTTCCTTAATGGCAGCACGGATGTCATCATAACCAGTGTTTCCATTCTTCACCCAGATGACATGCCACCCAAGGGCCTCAAAACGCTTATCTACATCCTCAGTAAAGGCAATATCGGTATCACCATCAATAGAAATGTGGTTGTCATCATAGAAAGCTATAAGCTTCCCAAGTCCCCAGTGTCCAGCAAGCGAACAAACTTCATTTGAAATTCCTTCCATTTGACAACCATCTCCCAGGATAACATATCTAGAAATACAGATGTCAATATCATCAAATGAAACAAAATAAAGCACTTCAAGTTTAAATACAAACTGGAAAAGAGGAAACTGGGGAGGAGGGGCAACTGACGTGTAATGGTCAACGATGTCAATGTCAGGTTTATTATATCTAGCAGCCAAGTGCTTCTCTGCAAGAGCCAATCCCACAGCATTTGCAATACCCTGACCAAGAGGGCCTGCACAAAGGACGAGATTATACATCAAAAAAAAAAAAAAGTTTTATGCATTCTATAGCATGAGCATTACGTTTATTATAATGACAAGAAAATGAAAAAACATTCATGACAAGGGTCTAACCAGTTGTTACTTCAACACCAGGTGTCTCAAAGTTCTCAGGATGTCCTGGGCTTTTGCTTCCCCACTGACGGAAATTCTTCAAATCTTCTTCCTAATAAACAATGGAAAAGGCAATTATCTGTTATTTACTTTTTAATACAGAATTCAACTGGTATTGCAACAATTCACTTTCATTTCCATAACTCGAGCAGAAAATTCTGTCAGAGATGCCATTTAAACACAAAGATTTAGTAAAAGCACTTTGTAAAAAGTTTTAATACTAAATGCATGCTTTGAAAACATATAGAAAAGTAGCATCAACGAAAACATGGGAAGCAATCCAATTCCAAGTTCCTTGCAACTATAGTCATCAATTGATCCCCAAGCAAAAAAGGGTCCAATGTCATCGCTCACAAGCAGACAAACACAGATCCGGAGATGCAAAGGCAAAAGATCACAACTTTATGTCACAAAGACCAAATAAAAGAACCCACCTGGACACTATCGTAACCAGCGAGATGAAGCAGAGCATACTGCAACATGCAACCATGACCGGCAGACAAAACAAACCGATCTCTGTTGAACCAATACGGGTTCTTCGGATTATACCTCATGACCTCATCGTACAATATGTGACCCATCGGGGCACATCCCATGGGCAGGCCAGGGTGCCCCGAATTGGCCTTCTC